TAATCCAGTATTCAATATGCCTCATAAATTGATTAATAAAATAAAATAAAATAACTCCAAATTGTCATAACTGTACAAGTTAAATAAAGATGAATCCTTATTAAAGCTTTCTTTTGTGTTTTTTTTTTATTTTTTTTATTATTATCATTAATAATACAGACACCATTAGTAGACAGTAGCAGGTTTTAAAGGCTGCTGTCACTAAGACTTAATCGACAGAGACAATATGCTGTTACACATGCTGTTCACGTTCAAATGGCGGATATTTCGTTTTTTGGAGAAACAATTGCATCCTCAGTTATAAATGATATATTTAAGATACTTAACTCTTTCGCTATACCCCATAATAACAAGTTCTTCCTCATCCTAACCTGTTTGGGGTGCGTCCGATTTTGTATTCAAATGTCTGTGCTGTGCAAATATATACCGCTATATAAACAGTACAGCAAAAACTCTTCCCGCTGACAGCATACAATATATACCAACTTACTGCCTAGCCGTAGTGTGTATGTGTGTGTGTGTGTCTCGTCCAATCAGGGCTGGGTATATTTGTATAGAGGAGCAGAAGGAACTGGGGGGGAAGCAGTCTTAATCTCACGGAGAGAAAAAAAGAGAGAGGAGGTTTGTGTGTGGTATCTTGGAGAAAAGGATAATGGCCTCTTGCGCGGTAGAAAAGAAGCCCATGTAGCGCCACTGACAGACAAGGTCACCCAGAACTGTGGGGCGGGGAGTAGAGGTGGCCTTGAAAGGCAGGCCTCAATCTCAGCCTCGCAGGGCTCAGGTTTATAATACTGTATCCTGGATTTACATTCACCTAGAGGGGGCACACCATAACCGGCCTGTAATGAAAGACTGTAATACGGACCCGCTCACCGATTCTCTCACAGTATGTGGGAGGGAGAGAAAGCGGCACGCTGTTGCCGGTCAGTCTGTTTGTCTTGCATGTTGGTGCGTTTCTGTATTCGAAAGGGTTATGCAAATGTTATTATTGTTATTACATTTGCTCGATATGCTTAAGGGTGTAATTTTTGAGTTTTTGTAATCAAATCTTTTTTTTTTTTTTTTTTTCAATTCCCATCTCCATTTAAGTTCTTTATTTTTTTTTGTGTGTGTGTTTTTTAAATATGTGCCAGCCCTCCTCAGATCATCTGTTCCCTCCGCCAATCATCATGCGGCGTCCTTGATCCCTCTTCCTCTCCGATTGGCTGTACTCCTCAGCCGTGGGCATTTCCACAGATGACAACCTATCAGAGGACAGGACGCGCAGACACAGGGGGCCAGGCCAAGGCCGCGCTGTAATGGAGAGTCTGTCCGTCGGTTTTAACACTCCTCCCGCTTTGATCGCACACGCACACATTTTGTTACCACGTTAACATGCTCTCGTTGTAGAATGTACTGTAAATACGTGTTGTTCTGTCAAGCATCCGTGCGACTCTAGTGCAAATGCATACATATAGTGCATAACTCTTTCAATGCCGTTTTTATCTCTCACACACACACACACACAAACAAACACGTTCACTCCTGACTGCTATCAAGTGTGCTTTGTATCCGTCAAGTGTTGTTCTCACCGCCGGGCCCAAAGAAATACACGCTTTAGTTCATCAGAGATGAAAAAAGAGAGACACTCGCTTCAAAGCCAAACAAAGGGCCACAAATAGATAAAACACCGGGCTGTCCGTCAGAGGTCTAGGATTATTAGCAACATCTCGTTTCAGCCATTCGGAATGAAAATAGAGTTTATTTGAGATGGGACGCAGTGTTATTGCTGTACTTATCAATTACGCTCCTAACCGGATCAAACCGAACAGTCCGGTTTGTGTTTGTATCAGTAAATGTTGCAAATACGCTGTGGCATTAAGGTTTTCATGGTGATGGATCCTTTGTACCGTTTGTTTGGCAGCGTAGAAACGCTCTCAGTTCTTTAATCTCGAGCTCTATGCTTTCCCTCACCCCATCTTAAAAGGTGAGCTGTTTCGTCGTATAATTAAAACAACACTGACAAAAAAAACAAACAAAAAAAAACTGGAGAATTTTCCAGAATGTCACAGCGGTGTCAGTCACAGCTCGGAGAGATCAAGTCATTGTTGTGTTATGTGCAAGAAGTTGGCTGGTTTGAGACAGCCGGACAAAAGAGCACTAAAGAGGCAGTCCGGCGGCGGGTTATGAGGGTCTGAGCCCCAGTGAGGGGCTGTGGTGACCTGCGCTGACCGCTGGCCCAGGGGCCAGACCCTGTCGCCACTCGCCCCTTGAGGAGGTGCTTGCCAGGGCAGGAGGGCATGGGAAGCGTCCGGGATACGGCAAATGCGCCGTAACAGAGAAAGAGAGGCTCTTGAGTCTTTCAGATATAACAGAACGTGCAATATTACGAAGTTTGAATACTAAACGCATCTATTTAGAGCCATAAGACTATAATTTATCATCGAGTTACTAATGTACTAATGTTAGTATGCAATTATAATTATTGCTGTCGATTATTTTATATAATTCATTTCTATGTTGTTAAATTATAGTTTATATTGCCTGTAGAAGTATTTTCTCTGTACTTTCCTTTATAATGAATTTAGCTAGAACTGCATTATTTTTTTTTTTAAGATAAATTAATCTATTTTTAAAACACTACCTTCGGTAACACTTTTACAATAAGGTTCATTACACTGTAAAAAAAAATATATTTTCATGATTAGTAATCACAGCATTTTTTTTTTCTTTTATCAAATCAACTTAAATAATTTATTTAATTCAGATAACTTATAATTTTGAGTTTTTGATGAGTAAATCAACCTCTTTCATTGTATTAACTCACTTTTTCCATTTCAATGAACTTAAAATTGTAAGGCAACCAGGTAACTTAATTTTTTTAAGTTAAACCAACATTTTTTTTACAGTAACTAACAATGAGCAATACAGTATTTATTAATGTTAGTTAATAAAAATACAGCTGTTCATTGTTTTTCCCTGTTAGTTCAAGTACAACCTTTGATTTTAATAACGTATTAGCAAATGTTGAGGTTAATAAATGCTGAAGAAGTATTGTTCATTCATAGTTTGTTAACTAATGCACCTTATTGTAAAGTGTTACCATAATTTTTATTACCGTTGTTGCTGGATCTTTTTTTCTTTTTCCTTTTCTTTTTTTTATAATGTCTCCTGTTTTAATTTTGAATAATGTTGTAAACGAACACTTTATATTCCATAATATCGCTGAAGAGTGCTAAGTTTAAAGCTAAACTCAGTCTAGTGGCTTATGCAAACTATTATATAACATTTGCTTTAAGGACATTATTATTTCAAAAACAAAAGATAAGAATGGACAACAGGGAGTTTGTTTGTCTTATCAGTCTCTTTCTCGGTCATTTATCTTACCTGCCACCAGTGGGCAGTGGCACCGAGCTCCACACACCACAACACCACACTAAGAGCCAGACGTCACTTATATGACACCAGCCTGCCAGACAGAAACAAATAACTACAAATTTTAACCCCACGTCTGGTCAGTTCAGACTAACTCTGATAAACGCCACCTCTACTCTTACACACCACAGGCTGTCGGACTGGATTTGCACAAAACAGACATTTATTAAATGAGAAGCTGAATCAGAGTTCAGCAGAAATGAATTGCGTTGGCTGGAGTGTTATAATTTAATGATCACATGGATTTTGTGTTGAACGCTAAATATGCATGTTTTTTAATTTGTTGAATTTCTAACTGTAAATTAAATGACTTTTTTTTGAATGTATTTAAAAGTGTAAATGAGCACATGATAATCTTATATTAGTGTTTTTTTGTTCAGTTATTAGCTGTGGGCTATTAGTAAAATGCTGGCGTGAGCTCGTTTGTATTGATTAGATGTGAAAATGCTTGCTTTGCAGTCCATCATGTGAAATAATTATAATTGTTTGCTATTGACAGACGCTTAATTTTTAATTAGCCGTTTTGAAAATCACACCTTTTGTTTCCTCGTTGATGCAAATAGTTTGACGCGCCTGTGTCGGTGGGAAAATAAATGAGCTTGTCATTTTATGTAGAAGATTTCTTTTTTCATTGCTTTAAATTGTGTTTATTAGATACATTTTAATATGATGGCTTTATGATTAAATGAGTGATAAGTAAAGCAAAAATGATTTACATTTAAACACAAGTTTAGTTTTTAGATAATTATACTTAGAATAAATCATATTTTGTGAACATTTATTTACTTATTTTATTATTATTGTTAATATTTATGCATTTATTGAGTTATTTGTTTCTTTAATTGTCACTGAAGTTTTTTTCAGCGTTTGCAGGGGATCAGAATTCACTTTGAGCCGTCCGGTAGAAACTTTGATTTGGGAGTTTGGCTGTCTATTGTGCATTTACTTAGAGCTATGCAGTAGAACAAGCGACAGACTATTTCATATCTGCCTGTCACTGACACACTGATACCATTGAGTACTAAAGTCTTTAAACATGTTTATTTGTTACTTTTATGTATTTTATGGTATTTTATTTTGTTTATGCTTGTTTTCGGTTTAACTTTGCTGTAGTTTTTAATGTCTTAATTTTGAAGGGTTTTAAATTATACATGCATCTAAAAGTTTGTACAGTTCAAATATAGCAGAACTCATCATTTTAGTCTGTATATTCCACAATCAATTAGGAAAGCTGAATTTATTTTTTCTAAATGCAACTCAGTAGCGGTATTCCTTGTTTTTTTTTTTGTTTTTTTTTTAAGCTGAATGTCAGCACACTAACTGAAGCCGAAGCTGAATTTGAGCTCACATGAAAGCGACACTGACCTCCGTTCGCATTGAGAGCCGCTCTAATCCCTCTCCCAATAGTTCACTCCTCTACTGCACGCCACACAATGCCGTGACTCACAGCGCTGGCATACATGCCTCTCCCCGGACACCTTGCTTTATTATGAAGGGCCGGTTTGTTTTGGCAACTCAAGTACAATCAGAAAGAGCACTGGAGCCTGTTTATTTGTTTATTCATTTGTATGTGTTTTGTCTCTCAGGAGGGCTACGGGGTGATTGTGCTGAACCCCAACGAGAACTCTCTGGAGGTGGAGAAGGTTCCGGATCCAGCCAAGAAAGCGTCCCCGGATGCTTCCGATGAGCCTGCTGAAAAGAGAGAGAGGAAGGAAGAGCGGGAGAGCAAGAAAAAGAAGGACTTTTATGAGAAGTATCGCAACCCACAGAAGGAAAGGGAGACGGAGCGCATCCCGATTCGAGTGAGTGGCTGAGGGAGGATGATGGGAATGGAGAGGGGGAAAGGAATATGGGGTGAAATAGAGGGTGAGGGGAGGTTTAGGCAGTTGAGTGAGTGGGCCACACATGTGCGGTCAGGGGGCTGTAGAGGATTTGGAAACCATCCAGATTTTTCATCTCGCTTTCTCTGTTTTTAAAAGCCCAGCGAAATCGCTTGATGAGCACCGTTTTATCCCTTGATGTAATTCCTAACAATGTGCTTGTCTTTTATTATTTATTCTAAAAGTTACATCACAGTATGAGCCACTAGGGGGAGGGCATTCTCATTCTAGAGAGCATCTGATTGGACTAAAATCAGTGTAGTGCAGGATGAGTCATCAATCAATCCAATCCAACTTCATTTATACAGCACATGATAAAACAACATAGTTGACCACAGTGAAATGAAAAATAAAAAAAACGTGAAAACTACAAAAAATATTAACCACGAGAAAACAGCAACACACATCGTTCAAGACTAACTCGTACGGGTAGCTACAGTACAATCAGCTACCTTCATAAATATATTTGTTCAATTTCGACAGAAGATAATTTTTATTTTTATATGTGAATATCTGCGTGAAGTGAATTTGTCCAAGTTTAAAATCACAAATCTGAGGAATGACAGATGTTGCCTTCCATACTGTGATGCGCATCCAAGTGTAACAGATTAAGACAAAAATTGTAGGATGGTTGATTGGATTTTGAGATGTGGCCGTTTCCCTTGTTTAAAAGAGGAGACGGGTTTAGGAGAACTAAGTGATTGGAAAAGACTGCCATAGGTCAACAAAATCAAGTGTCTTGGTTTTAACGGAACATTGAGTTAGAATATTTTGGTTTACTAATTGCGAGAAAAAAAATGTTTTATGAATTGTTCACAGTGAAATCAATAACATGCATTTAGAAAATATTAATTTCATGCCAACTTTGGGTACTCTAGCAATCAGTGTTGTGCCTTAATTGAACTCATATTTTGGGCGAACGTGAACTGAGCGTAGTCTACTGTATTACTGCCTGCCTGATGAACGTTACTGTGAACGCGTTCATTCTGGTGTCGGTGAACGCACCCTCTCTCAGTTTAACTTCGTACAATAGGGTGCCAGATTTGTATTGAGCCTTCCGTAAACAGGCATTAATATGTAGTAAAAAAAAACACACAATCTAGCAACACCAGCTAGCAGTGTCACGCCGCGGCCGCTGTCGACAGAGCAGGAGGCGTATGATCATTTAAACAGATTTTATAATGAAGTCGGTGAGGATGGGGAAAATATTACATTTCTGTTCGAACTGCCTGTCGATAAAATAATTGTTGTCTGTGGTTGAATATGGGCTGTGGCAATAATAACCTAAAAAAAAAAAAGCTCGCAACATATGAAAAAAAACAAAAAAAAAAAACTATAAATTAACTAGTTTATATTTTGAAGTATGAACTATGAACTGAACTAGTTTATTTTAAAATGTGTGAACTGAACTTTGAACTACTTCATGTAGAAGGTGAACTTTTCTCAACACTGTCTAGCATACAAGCTAACATGCAGGGAAATCTCCAAAAATATCCACGTTTAATTCCATGGCATCTTGGGTCAATCTGTTAGCATGCAGAGAAGATATACACACACATTTTTCGAGTATACAAATCAAAGAAATAAATCATTTCTAATGCAAAACCATGAGGCAACCAGATGAAAGGAGGAAGCATCAATTGGAAAAATTGTCTCCCGAAAGTTAGCGCTTTGTTTTATCACCATTTGACGGCCACGTCACATATCGTCACACTCCTTGTGCTGTCATTTACTGTCGTTGACTCTGTAGCGGTGTGTGAGCTGTCAACACACTTCAGAGGCTACCTTCACACACACACACACACACACACAGCACGTTGAGGTATTATTATCTGCACTATTAGCATGAAGTCAGCTTTAAAACCTTCGTACCTCTCACTTTCCCTCTCTTTGTAAACAAATTCTCTTAATTACTCTTTTTAAATTCCTTAATAAATTCTCACTCAGGACAGAATGCTGTGGTGTTGCCCAGATGAAGTTGTTTTTTTAACACACACAGTCAGTAAGAGGAAAAAAAATCTATGAAATAGCCATCAGTGAGTGTGAATCTGAGATTTCAACACCTCGTCCATTTCTGAGGCGTTTCATCAGTGTTGGTGTGGTGAATAGAGGAAGTTGCTCTCCAGACTGCTGTGTATAATGAAAAAAACTCACTGTCAATATCTATGAGAGCTGACGTCTTCATGCGCACATGCCAGCAATGTGTGTTTATGAGTAAATGATAGAGAAAAGGTGTGTGTATGTCTTCAAGAGGAGCTGCATTACCCTGCAGAGGAGAAAGGGAACAACCCATAGCAATGTCTTAATAAATATTTCAGTTTGGGATTCATATGAGAAGACTTAGCATCCCTCTCTCTCTTCCGGGAGTCTAGTCTAGCAGTATGTGATAGTCCAGTTCTGCTGGACGGCCTTGCAGTGGTCT